GGGGTCCCCCCGCGCCCCCAGACTCACGTGATGGCGCGGAAGCTTCGCTTCTCCACCAGCTTCACCCGGAACCGGCGCCGGAACCTGCGGGCAGCGGGCAGCGGGCAGCGGGCGCGCCCCGATTCGGGGTTCAGCCACTGAATGGGGTTCACCTGAACTTGGGGGTTCACCTGAACTTGGGGGTTCACCCACAATTTGGGGGTTCCACCTGAGCTTTGGGGTTCACCCACTGAATGGGGGTTCACCTGAACTTGGGGGTTCACCTGAATTTTGGGGGTTTCACCTGAACTTTGGGGTTCGCCTGAACTTGGGGGTTCGCCCACTAAATGGGGGTTCACCTGAACTTGGGGGTTCACCTGAACTTTGGGGTTCGCCCACTAAATGGGGGTTCACCTGAACTTGGGGGTTCACCTGAACTTTGGGGTTCACCTGAACTTGGGGGTTCGCCCACTATTTGGGGGTTCACCTGAACTTGGGGGTTCACCTGAACTTTGAGGGGTTCCACCTGAACTTTGGGGTTCGCCCACTAAATGGGGGTTTCACCTGAACTTGGGGGTTCACCTGAACTTTGGGGTTCACCTGAGCTTTGAGGGGTTCCACCTGAACTTCGGGGTTCGCCCACTATTTGGGGGTTCCACCTGAATTTTGGGGTTCACCTGAACTTCGGGGTTCGCCCACAATTTGGGGGTTCCACCTGAACTTGGGGGTTCACCTGAACTTGGGGGTTCACCTGAACTTCGGGGTTCGCCCACTAATTGGGGGTTCCACCTGAACTTTGGGGTTCACCTGAACTTTGGGGTTCACCCACAATTTGGGGGTTCCACCTGAATTTCGGGGGGTTCCACCTGAACTTTGGGGGGTTTCACCTGAACTTTGGGGTTCACCCACTATTTGGGGGTTCCACCTGAACTTTGGGGGGTTTCACCTGAACTTTGGGGTTCGCCCACTAAATGGGGGTTCCACCTGAGCTTTGAGGGGTTCCACCTGAACTTTGGGGTTCGCCCACTAAATGGGGGTTCCACCTGAATTTCGGGGGGTTTCACCTGAACTTTGGGGCTTTTAACCTGAATTTTGGGGGTTTCACCTGAATTTTGGGGGTTTTCACCTGAATTTCGGGGGTTTTCACCTGAATTTTGGGGGGTTTCACCTGAATTTTGGGGGTTTTCACCCGAATTTTGGGGTTTTTCAGGTGAATTTTGGGGTTTATCACGTGAATTTTGGGGTTTCCCCCCTGAATTTTGGGGTTTTACCCTGAATTTTCGGGGTTCACCTTGAATTTTGTTTTTTTTTCCCGTGAATTTTGGGGATTTTTCCCGTGAATTTCGGGGTTATTCCCGTGAATTTTGGGCTTTTCCCTGAATTCTGAGGTTTTCCTGTGAATTTTAGAGGTTTTCCCTGAATTTTGGGGTTTTTCCCCTGAATTCTGGGGTTTTCCCAGGGATTTTAGGGTTTTCCTCTGAATTTTGGGGTTTTTCCCCTGCATTTTAGGGGGTTTTCCCTGAATTTTGGGGTTTCCC